CCACTTAGTCAACGAGATATTAGATAATCTTCACAATCTTAGATGGAATATTATTATATACTAACTAATGACAATTATGGAGTGGAAATGTTCACAGTTCCATTGAGATGTCGTGTTTAGTAGAGGTACATTTAGTAGACTGTGAGCTTGATATTCACCAAAGATTATAATAGATCAATCCACAGTGTGATAGATTGTTTGACAATTGAATTTTGTATGATTTTATAACACGGCAGTGGTCTAGAGTGTTTTTATCCGAGCTTGAAATTATAGATTCTCGTTTCAGTTCGTAGTTTTGAAATCGTGCATATGCACTGCCGAATAGTACAATACTGAGAAGAGTCGGCTATCTGGTGATAAAAAGGTCAAACATGCGGTGATTAAGAAGTTCAATAATATTCAAGATTTCTCACAACTCTATACCTTTTGTTCTTGAATTAATCAGAATCACCTTTTTAGAAACTGTATATCATGACATGATGAAGTCAGATTCTACCCTCTTTATGGTACTCTCGAAAAATAATTGTGAATGAATTAAGGTCGGCATGACTTGGTATATCAAAATTCAGATGAAAAATGTTATACGAAAGTTCAGTATATAGGTAATTTTTAAAACCCATTAAGTGAGAGATGCATTCATGCGTACGAAAAGTTAATCCACTGAAGGTAAGAGATGTCATTTAATGTAGGGAGAAAATAAATCAGTTCAAAGGCAAATGGGCCATTCACTGATCAGTAAAATTTTGAAAAATCCTATCATTTCCAATGAAGTATGTTTTCTATTTTATTTATCTCAACAGATAATACGTTCGCTAATGTGACTGTTATTATAAATAAGTAAGGACAGTACTATGTTTTATTGAAATGATGGATCAGTCTTTTATATAGTACCATCAGTTCAAAAAACTGGTTGAACGTTTTGTCCTAATATGCGAATTATGAGCAGTGGGCATCCCCAAAACCCCTGCTCACTAGAATGCTATACAGGACCAACGATCTCGAGCTTTAGATAATAAGATAGTGCTTTTCATATCAAACAAACTATTATTTGTTCTTTTATCAGTAGGTTATTGTCGAATTTACCGAGATAAAACCGTTTGAAATATTTTGTTAAAAGAATGTTCAGTTTCATCAAATCATTTTGGGCTGTTTTTGATCGATCTCGAAGATAGTTTGTTCTACGTAGTAAACATCTCGTTAGTTAATTTAATTGATCGACCTAATATTTGCGTTGCACTTTCTTATAAATTAGCATTAATCAAATTTTCTTGCTATCTCATCCATTATTGTCTCAGTTACTTAGCTTTCGTTGATCTTACGTCCTAAAAATGAGTCACTGAAATTCGTTCATTCAGTTTAAGAGGATTGTCGCTTAATTTACAGAAATCATGAGTTGGTCAATATTTTTGGAGTCCATTATTTTGTGCCAAGTTTACAAATGCGATTATCTATACTGTTCAACATGAATGAAAGATTATTAGTATACATTTGTTTGGAGATCACCACCTAAGTAAATTCTTTATCCCCAATCGTCAAATTACTTCTAATCAGACTGAATATCAAGAAAGTGACAGGTTTTCGAATCAGTGTCATAGTCTTTTTGCAGGATAATTTCGTCTTCTTACGGCACTGATCATCTACGAGCACTGTTCTGCTTATTTCGAGTTCACTTAAGTATTAAACCTTATTTCAATGCAAACTGCCACTTTCGTTCGTACGCGGATACAATAATTTAAAAAAAAGCGATAATTGAAGCTCAAATCAATCAGTTCGTTTGTTCATTCTCAGTTTAATTTGTTTATTCATTTCGACAAATAGTCAAAGTATTGGTGAGTTAACAAATTTTGATTGAGACATTTTACTAGTTTGATCTGGTTATACTTGGTTTAATGTACCATCACTTATCACTCACACGAAGTAGACTGACTGATTATGTAATTCACTTGTTCGTTATCGGTGAAATTCGGATTGTGGAATTTGTGGAAGATGATAGTTGCGATTGATTTTATTTAAACCTACGAATATGCTGAATGTCATAATATAACTACCCGAAATAAAATATTACGAAACTTAATACACTTATGTACACAACAACATATACGCACTCCTTTCGTAATCATTCGTATTCACACTCATGTAGCAAAGGCCACTGACAAGATTTCATCAAACAATTCTATCCCCGGCCTTAGTTTACCTTTCTCATTGATTGCTATTCATTCTAGTGACAAATGTCTTCAACATTCGACACAATATGTTCGTTGGTATTCCTGTTTCTTTTTTGTCGTAATGGGTCCAAGTTTGAAGATTGCCTCGTTATGAGCTTGTGTGTGATTCCTGCAATGTGTGTTCTATTCAAAAGCTCCCACATCTGGAATCCGATTTGTCCGATACCAAACTAAGTGTTTGTTGAAAGTCTGTGTTCAGCGGATTCGAATTATCTTGTGTAGACAAATGTTAGTCAATATTTGTATATCGTAGACGTTGTATTTCGTAGCACTGCAAGATTTCACTTCATAATGACCCGATGTGACTATCCGTTACCTCATGTAAACATCACATCCACCGTGTTAAATTTCAGTAATACCGCCTCATGTTATTATAGATAACGCGACAAGAAATTTTCCTTGTATTTTTGATTTTTTTATGATAAACGTTTGAATATGAATTAGTTCTAAAACCAACATTGTTACAAAACTAATTTGAAATTTACTGACATGGTTTAATTCAAATGATTTTTCTTTAAAGCGGGTAATATGAGTCCTCCTGCTCCTGGGTAAGTTGAATAAATTGTTTAGAAAAATTACGAAAATAGTTATTTGTTCAGCAATGACACATTCCATGATTGTTAACAATCGATTAGTTTATGGTTGACTATTAATTCTATTATAATGAACGGAGCCCTTGAGTTCCGATTCACGTCACACTAGAAAAAGAAGATTATATTTGAACAGTCTCTGTCAGAACGATTTCACTTACATTATCGCACTTGACCTTATTTTCAACTATTCTCAGGTTGTTGAGACCGATTTATTATGAACAATTATGTTCACATTACTTGAATATCCACACAATAATGTCAAATAATTTTTATTCAGTAACACACCTTCATCTGGACCAGCTACTTCTGCGAAGCCACATAGTAAGTTTTATACAGGATACTATCTAATTATTTATCCCAACTGGATTCGTGATGATATTACGACAACGATGATGATCATCATGATGTTGATCTGATGATAACAAATCAGAAAAAAAGTTTCCGATATTATTTCATCTGAAATTTATTCTGTCTATGGTTTCATAGTTTTGGCAATATTCTCTGTGCTTTCCTCAGTGAAACTAATATGATTCAGGATATGAATAGCATTAAAATCCAGTATATGGATGACTCCACATTCTATATTCCAATTTTTCTATTCCGAATCAATAGTTAAGTGGATAACGTTATGATATTTTAAACAAACTGTAGTGAGATTGAGTTAAGGAAGGAATATCAACCGCGACATGTGATAGATACATTCGACTACGTGTAACGCCCTAATTCTGGATTACACTAATAACAAAAATCATTCCACCTTATCTGGAGTAACTATTATTGATTCGAACGTGATGATCTATCATTTATAACTTATGTATTAGTGTTATCGAATAAAATAAAACTGATTTAGGTTAACAGTGACAGAATGTTTAGAGAGAAAGTAAATTAGGTTTCATCACAAATAATCCAATCCTATTTAAAATCATGAATTTATAATTGTTAGTCAACGCAATGAGAAACCTGCATGTACTAGACTAATGTTTCCTCCTAACACGACACTCCAGATCAGCGCGTTTTCACGGCTTCCAACCATGTGATTTTAACTCAGGACGTTCAGGCAATGGAGCTGGAGTTGTGACGGTGTTATTGCTTGACAATAATAAAACCAAGTCATTGTGCACCCTAACTCATAGTCACAGGTAGGTGATTGCCACTCACTTCACAGAGTTGAAGTGCACTTGTTACGGCGTATCCATAGAAATCACGAAGCTAGACACTTGTGAGCACATTTCGAAGATTTCAATGTAACTAAAGAATCTCCACAACTGCATACTGAAAAATTGATTTTTCTCATTTATTTATCACAATTGTCCATTGCAGCTAAAGGTTCGACTTCGCCAAGGTAAGTGAGTGAATTTGATTAACTACCATCTTCTGATCTCTCCAACTGATTTTTCCTACAATTCACTAATTACGCTGCAATAAATCATTTGGAGTTACATCTGCCGAAAAATTGAAAATATGCTGACAGTATGTTGATCCCTAAATTACGCTGGTTACAATCAAGTCAGGATCAACCGACAGCCATCATTCACAAACTCAATCTTAACTAGGTCTTCCTTCCCATTTGTAACGAGTTGCTAAGCAACAATTTTTACCTGTTTGCCTCCTATTCTGGACGTGAGATATTCTTGATTCTTCCCCTTTTAGTCTAGCTCTCAGTTTTTAAAATAAGGGATTGTTATGTAGTGTAGCTGGCAGATTTTAATAATGTGTGTCTATAGGTGCGAAACAGATGGATGGAGCCCTTTGGAAGAACTCCTGAATCGGCTAGCTCAACGTAAAACACTCAACATAGAATAGCTTCTCTTTACGTCACAAATGAATTTGACTCACAAACAAATTAAGAGAGTTATTTAAGCAAGTGTGAAAACTGCTACTGAATCCTCAGTCTCCTGTGAAACCCAGAAAAGGTCAACAACTTTGTGTTGTCAAACATAATGTAAGATGACGAAGTCGCTGAACTTTTGCATGAGCAGGCTAGATTCCATAATGATCTCTCTAAAGTGAGAGAATCGCCACACAAATGATCAGCATATTTTGCAGAAGTAGGTTTTGAACTTGACAAACAGGAACAGCTTGTTCGTCTGATAAACACATCACCAAATCAAACCTAACAGAGTAGCTTTAGATGATGTAGAAGCTTTTACATGTCCGGTCAACGTCGTTGGTGTACAAAATGAATCTGATGCAGATTTGAAAGCGCGATTATCAAAGCAATCACAGCATGACTATAAATGAAGAATTTCTGGAACACAAAACAACTGTCAAGAAACACCCAGAGCACAATTTCTGGCTATTTATTTTGACACAATTCTTCTTCGTGAGGGGGTGAAAATTCGGAGATCCTTGAAACCAAACATCTACAAAACACATGTAATCTTTGTGACTTGTCTACGCAAAATACTTTGGATTATTTGGCTAGAAACTATCAACAGCAACTTGGTGTGTTAGAGAAGAAAGAAAATTCCACTACATGAGGAATGAACGGATGAAAATCGTCGCAGTTGTAAAGGACAAATATTGTGGAAATTCTCAATTAGCCTGAAAAGAGAAGCCCTCACATAGAATCCTCATAAACATGAAAAAACAATTATTTTGTAGGGGGAACTAAGTTCATGACAAATGACTTTGAACGATGCTGCTTATGCCTCACTTCCAGGTAACAGATGTAAATAGCCAATTTGTTCAGATGAATACCAAATAAAATGTTGTGAGTAGGTTTTATCATCATGATCTTTGTAATTTACAGGAATCAAACAACAAAGACATCTAAAAAATGTAAGTTGAATCAAATGTTTCATCAAATTCCTAATACCTGAATTTAACACTAGTTCATATGATTACACAGCAAGTTCTGGAGTTAAATATCTATTTGGATGAATACTTATGATACTTAATAAACTGTTTTGTTACCTAATAGGAAATGTGTTGTGAATAATACTTACTTAGTTGCTTACTTACATTTGTCACTGTTAGTGGACGAATCATATGCCGTCGACCAGCATTCTCGAACCTACTCAGTCATATGCCTTCCTTCTCAGTTCTATACATCTGCCGTTTCAAATAAATACTTTCAAGGAAAATAATGTTTATTAACCTTCATTAGTACTAAATATTAGTGTCGATAAATTGTTTACTTCTTCTGCTCGAAACATCTTCATTTATTACATTTGGTGTGGTTGTAGATGGATCAGTGTAGGTGTACACTTGTAAGGGAACAGCTGCGTGGTCGAACGAGAGCAAAGGTGGATGAAGTGTGATGTCGGTGATATAATAAGACTTATATTTTTAAAACAAACAGATCACTGACAGTATTCTTTCACGTGTCCTTTAGTTTTCGAACTACGCTGTAAACGAACAGTACATCTCAGTGTGAAACATTTTTCTTCAGCAGTAACAGTTAGTAAATACTCTGCCTCATGGCATTCACAGTTCAAGTTACGATTATTATCTGACTCATCGGTGTACCATTAAAATTAAAACTATGGAATCCGTGTTAATTTTTATTCGTTCGAGTGTAAACTGAAAATAACTTGTTAGAGAATACAGTCCATTCAGACCATTCGAAAACAAATATACTACAGTGTAGACTGTAGATGTTTAGTGAAGACGTTTGTCGTCTACATTATAGGTTGATATTCAATGCACCAAATCACTTTATTTTAGTAGTATATTAACAATGTCAAAGTGTTAAACAATTTATTGAGGTGAATTTATTACTTTGTATGATAGCTCAATATACTGGAAAACCTCTTGAGTAAGTGTATTTGAAACCACGTTTTATATGAAGATTTATTTATGCAGTAAAAATTATGCGATGGTTGAGATTTGTATATCATTCAATATTTCATGAAATATTCTGAATGAATACCGTCTCAAAATGATAAATTTCAGACGGTCATGAGTTGGTATGTATCTGTTAATACAGGGATAAATTTTCGTACCAGTGGCGAGTTAGAGAGTCTAGGCGAAAAGCTCACATCCCATCGTGCATGAAACATACATTCACAGAAGAAACCTTTCCGTAACTTATTACCTCCATATGTGTTTTGTTTCTAAACGTATCCAGATCGCACCAAAAATCTTTATCCGACACAACAATCATTTTAAGTAGTAAACATCGCAACATTTTCGTCTAAATAGCAACGGAATGATATTCTCTAATCATAACGAAATAAATTACCTTCATTAATGTACTACATATTTAACACTGTCAGAGACAATCACTACTCTGAAATGTCTTCGATGCAGATACTCAGATTTCTAAGCCAAGACAATAATCTTATTTCTGACTGGTAAACATGATCACGTGACGAATACAAAAACATCGATCAGAATAACGACTAGTTTTAGCTTTGTTTCACATTACGTTCTAGGGTCTACAAAGCGTCAGACCGAAAATTATTCCTCAAAACGAATCATTAGAAGTCTTCAAATAATAGATAATTGGTGACACAATGAATGCACTGATTTATTCGCCCGACAAGACTTTCCTTGCTTTTGGAAAATCCAGTTAAGCTTCTATTCTCTAGGTTACTGTCATTACGTCTATAAAAATTGTCAGCTATTCGCTTAAAATCTCGGTAGTATTTTTGATTGCATAGGTTCACTACTTACTTCACTCACAACATGTTTAACTTATTCTCCTCACGATATAAAAGCTAAATCATGCCTCATAACATGCAGCTTCCCACTGATCATCTCTACCTCACTTCATGTCCTTTCACTTCGGCTTCACGCTTACCATTATTGTGTGCCTACTAACGCGAATGTATAAAGTTAATTCACTCGAAAGGGTTCGCCTAAAACAAGGAAGGAAGATTGGTTGCACAGAATACCAAACGTTTATTAAAACTTGAAGTCAGAACTGATATTAGGAAGGCGACAAGAAGAGTGCTAGGGCTAATGAGAATGTCATGACGTTCTTAGCTGAAATCATGTATATCAATGTTTTTTTGAATGCAGTGCATGGGTGTCGATCTGTAGCAGAAACCACGTTTACTGGATTGGCGAATATTTGCTCTCAATATAGATGGTCTTATCTATGAGTACACCCGAAGATGTTTGTGTACAAACCCTAACTGTTTCTCGTGGGGGTATCTTTTAAATCGAGAGATAGATTTGAACACGTATTGCAAATGAATAATATCTCACACATATTGAATAAACCAGTTAGTATAGAGACTCCATACTCAAAAAGATTAAAACCATAATGTTTGCTAACAAGAAACACGTCAAGTGCAGTCGTGAACATCGATGGGGCCAACTCGAACAATCAACATAAGTGAATTCATGCAATGCCTTTTGTGCTTTGATGAAATGAGGTAAAGGTAATTTTTTTTTCGGATATTATTATTTTGTTGATCACTTTTTTTCTAAAATCTTTCAATTTTTCAATCACCAAAGAATGCATACATCATTGGCCCTGTAAGTGTTTTGTTAAGGCAAACATTTTCAACCATACTGAATGAATTGATTTTCATTGTTCTTGTTGTTGTGAATATCATCGAACAAGGTACTCTATTTGTATAAAACTTTCCAAATGCAGATGCTCATATTTATTTAAATTTTCATTTGATTAAATACATGATGAATTCATGATTCCTTTATTATAGTATTTCATTCACAAGTTAGAATCAATAATACTTGGGAATGAAGAGTATTGTTATTTCTGCTTGTTAACGTGTAAACAAAGGTGATATAATTATAATGTGCGAAATGTTTCCGATTGAAAAAATTGTCTAATGAAGTGAATTTTTATTCATTTTACAGGTTTATTTTCACATTTGTGTAGTAAGTCATTACTAGTCATGATGTGTAAAATTGAACTGTTAACACTTATGAATGTTTATAATTATAGAGTGGTGAAGATGTTAGCGACGTTAAATCCACAATTATCACCTAAGCACTAATGACTACCGTAGTAAAGAGATTTTCTCCAGTTCTCTTGAGAAGTCTTAACCAGTGCAGTTCAACCCTGTTGTGTGTGCGCAGGTAATTATCGAAAACAATGTCTGAAGTTGAGCGATTCTCTAGATCAATTGAAGTTGATCATTCAAAACGTGGAATACGGCATCAGTAATCTAACTGCCTTTAAATACTGTCAAAATAATCGATGCTGGAAATAAATTGATTCTTCGGTTATTATTTTGATTACTGAAACTTGAAATTACTTCGGAAGAACGTAGCTAATATTACATTTTCACGACACACACAAACTTTTAACATACAGGTTTTTATCTATGCCTTCTTGGTATACTTACTTACTTATTTACTTACTTACTTACTTACTTTCGTACTTACGCCTGTTACCCCCGACGGAGCATAGGCCTTGTTATAGACACAGATTCAAATGTCTACTTTAAGGGAAGATATTCAATACTTGCACGAATGTATTTGCTAACGCAGACTATCTTGCACTTACCAATTTGATGCATACTACTGGTACGTAAGCTTTCATTTAAGATCTTCTAATTATTTTCAAGAGCACAATCAGTCTATTAGTCAGTGATTTCATTGTTCAAAGATCAGTAATCTTTCTGAATTATTTAGTCCTTGCATTTTTACCGTACCGAAAAATTTACCGGGAAGCGTTCAATTTCTGAAAGCCAATTTTAAAATCTTTTGCGTATACCTGATTACATTCGTTACATAGGCCGAGATTCATGCAGTTTACATTCACCAGCCTACACATCGAGCAGTTCCATTCGCTTTCAAGCGTTTCAAATTAAAAAGGCTGTTTTGCAATCACATAATTGAAGTTGGTTTTTAATCCCATATCGACTGTCCTCACACAGTCAAACAATCAGTTCAATTACGCAGAACAAAATGACTGATTCCAACTGACAGGGCTATTCAAAATAATTGTGATGATCTTCCGTCTATCATACGGTTCGTTTTCCGTTTATATCCATCCATTTATTGACTTCGTTAAATAGAACGATTGCTAAAATCTAACCATTTACATTTATTTATTTAAAATGTAGTCAAGTGTTCAGTTTTTTGTGAGTTAACAATCAATCGTTTTCGACTTCAGTTTCCAGTTACTCCATTATTGAATCATATATATAGATAAATAAATATTTGAGTTTATGAATCGATCAATGCTTGCCCACGGCTAGTTATCTGGATGCGCTGGACGTCGGAATAGTTCTGATATGCGACTCATCAGCATTGTGCATCTACGACTCTCATCACTCGCTAACGGTGTTCGAATATCATTGATCAATTCATGAATTCTGGATAACCCGACAGTCTTCACCATTGTTTAATATGTTATTTTAAATAGATATAACTACATATATTGACTGTAGTCGACTGACCAGCCCTCACCCAATAATCTGAGTCAGGCTACATTTCCAAAGACAGTCAGTTGTTGTACACTGAAAATTGTCTGCTTTTGAATCTTGAGCGTTCTGTGTTACTTGATCTACCGCTTACTATTTAGCTTTGAGGATCGTAAGGAGGCGCTTGTCTTGTATTATCACGCACTTTTGCGTTTCTCGCGACGAATGTCCCATCCACATTCACCGACGTCTGCTAATAAATTGCTCACCTTCATTCTATCGCATTTTAGCATAAGTAAATCTCAAATCCTTATGTTGCATTTATTAAAACTTCCTAAAATATCTACAAAAACTGTGAGGTACTTCCTGAATTTCACTAGTCTCTTTAATAAAAAACAGTTCGATTTCTGACATATTTCAAATCAACACAATCACTTCAATTCATTCATACAAACATAGAATAATTATTGTTTTGGACATCGATTTGTATATTTTGCAACAATAATGTTTCACATGTACAATGATCAATGTTCATTTATATTTGATTTCGTTTATTTCTGGACAGTCTACCACATTCTCAATCAAATAAACACACAGGTTGATGGTGATATTTCACTTCGAAAATAATTCAAATGGGAACAATTTTTAACTTGAATGAATTAACAAATGATGATTTTTCTAAATAAAAAGAAACATTTCCAATTGCTTGAACGAGTTTATAACATTTTTTGTAATTGTATTTAATTATTATTTCCTGGAAATAAGTTTTTTACTTTATAACAAGAATGTAACTTAACAGTAACAACGGTAATGATCAGTATCAATGTCTCCGATCGATAGCAGCTTTACGTCGATTTAATATTCACCTTTCTAAATTTATATGATTACTTCGGCTTCACTCAAACATTGGTGAAACTCAAGAGAGAGAACGGAATCAAGTATCTCACTGCCGTGTCCACCAGTTAAGCTAATAAACACTGGAACTGAAACCGTGTGAATGTTTTGTCAACATTTTCCATGCTATTTCTTCACCTGTTGTCTAGTAAACAAGACGATACTGACACTTATAGGGAATTCAATTCATCATATACTTTGAAAGAGCTTACTGAACACCAGATTATTCTGCATATTGGGACATAAGTGAAATGTATTCAAGTAACTGTACATACAAAATAGGAGTGTCCGAAACATTATCAGTTACTTGTATGAAATGTACTCCGTGGCATATATATAAAGAACAGATCGACATGTGACGCGAATCAATTAAAGAAAACCTCGTTGTATGTAAACATTTTCTTGCTTATTTTAATTGTGAGAATAGAGTAAAAAACTAGGTATTGATGTACCGATCCTGATTGGCTAAAAAAACATCGATGATTTAGGTATTATTTACAATAATCGAATTATTCAGACTAAATCTTTAATGGGTTGATTTTGAAACGCATAAAAACTAATCAACAAAAACTGTCATTTTGAGTTTTCAGAGATTTCTCAAAGTCTGGCAGTTTTACGGAACTCACAATCACTGAACAGTCATTTCGACATGGTATGGGACATATTTTCAGTACTTATCAATAATCTCGCACAAGCTTCTTGAATACAGGACTCAAAGACGCTATATGTTTTCGTCAAGATTGTTAAGTGAATTCAGATAATATCCTACCTTTTTAATGCAACCGTGAAACCTTAACTTTACATTTTCGATTATTTTGGAAACTGGTAGGAGATATCAGCGATAAACTACCAACAGAAATGGTACTCAGATTTGTTATGTTCCTATAATTTTACAATTTAAAGCGCATGTACTAAATGATGTGAACTCTACTAAGAACTTTCTGGAAAGAAAGCATATATTGACGTAACGTAAGAACATTGATGACGGTTCAGTCTTACACACAATGGTTAGAACAGGTCATTTTGGATTTTGTAAGTACTTATTCACAGCATAAATGATACGAAGAGTAGAAATAATATTTTGATGGTTTTCCATACATGAATACATCAGCAGAAAGCCAACAAAATGTAGTTTGTGGAGCGATTCAACAGAAACTGAATAAAATTAATTGTAACGTGAAAAAACAAAGATCAAAATCAAGTGGCTCATATAGAATATATCAAACTCAACTGAACAGATTTTCGGTCAAATTTCATCCTTAATATAACCACGATTAGAAATGAAATATTTGAGTTCCTTTTTACTGGTGACATTAAGTACAACCAAGAAGTTAGTGAAATAGGGTTGTATATAGAAAATGAAATGAAAAAAATATTATTAACAAATGTATTTCATTGATTATAGGGAATCAGAGCATATCGGTTGTAGCCAAAAAATAACTGAAAATTTTTAAGTGGTTTGTTGATACGAGCAATGATTCTAAGACATCTCTGAATGAATACTAGTAACCTGAGAACATCTTCTACACTTAAAAGCCATGTTTCGCATCCCATTGTTTGATTTCAAAGACGACTTGGCTCAGTCATCTGAAACTCTGAGCTTACTGAGCACTTATTCAGTTCCCCTAAATGTACTAAAAGAAAAGTTCTCAAACCTGGATTACTTGTTAATGAAAGATCAGCTTCCAGTCGAGGTTGTTTAGGTTCATTCACCAGTAGGAAGTAGTGACCATAGAACCGTCTTTTTCAACGTGATCATAAATGAAACACTCACGCAGAACGAAAATGAGCCCTCTTTCTGCTACACGAGGGCAAGTTATACGCGTAATAGAGAGATCCTCCTACATTCCCTATGGCCACAGGAGTGGTGCAGGCTTACAGCAGATGACAATCGGTGAACAGACATAATTCAAAATGCTGTCCTTAGGAATGTTCCTCAGTCAAATTACACAGCCGGAAATAGAACAGCATGGGTTAAGCGTGGCACTGAGCGTTTGCTACAGGCAAAGAGGAGAGGCTAGCACAAGTGGAAGGTCTCCTATGAAGATTATGATCGGAGTTCTTATTCGGCATTAGGAAACAGATGCAGTACGAAAGTTCTAAGTGACAATGGACGCTTTCCATAGACTCAAGACTAAAAGAAAACCCACAAATCAGAGTTTGTGTTCTCTCAAAGGTCGCACGCACTCTGCTTGGGAGAGAGACAAATCTCTTGATTCGAGGGCACAGACGAGCAAAGAAAGTGGTGATAGGGTTGAAGAACAAGACTTACGAAGATAGGCTACAGCACCTGAGACTACTCCTGCTGATATACAGGAGAATCAGTGGTGATCTGATTATGGCATACAACATAATAGGCACGATAAATCATCTCAATGTTAGCATCCTACTGATGCATCACCACCACTTCCCTCAAGGCAATTTTCGAAAAATAGCGCATCAAAGAGCGAACTTACAGGTCCCTCCACACGTTTTCTCATTAAGAGTCGTTGAAACTTGGAATTCCCCCCCCAGTGTAGATAACCACAGCCACCTCAGTGGACAGCCTAATGAAGAAACTTGATAAATGCGTACTCGTAAACGGATTATTATCTCCCTCGTGGACAAGCTGTGCCTGATGTATGTCTTGAGACCTGCTATTTGTCATTATTGCTATTTCCACCTTTCACTGACCTAATGTATCTCGCTTATTATGGCTGTTTCCTCTATCTTCCTTACACTTCGATCCTCTCATTCAACTATTCACTACAAATTAATAAACCAAAACTGTCTATTGCTTTACTTATTTCTCAAATCTTATTCATATTAGCATTAGAATTTCATCTTTCTTACACTTCAAGTTGCAACTAACTGATCTCCGATCTGATAACATGATAGGAACCCCACTGCCCTGAAACAAACGTTTTCATTCAAATCACGATACATGCAGAATCTTAACAAACTACCAAATGACTAGAATCCGACAGTCCAGTGACCAGACCCCCAACTAATCAGATTATACAAAACACCTGGAACCATACCGAAACAACAAGAACCGAGCGAAAAGAAATCAATTGGTTTACACTACCTCGTGAAAACGATATTGAAAGGTCAATGAAAGGTAAATAAACTGGAATTCATTCCGATAACCTTTCTAAGATTTGAAAAAAATCAAATTTTTGAAAATTTATCAAATTCGTGTAACCATTAGCTGTTAGCAAATACTCACATTTATTGCTAGTTCACAAACTATAATGGACACACAAAGCATACTAAGAGCACACTCATAAATGTATCCTCACCTCAATGAAGGATTCGCTAATACAAGCTTCTTAATGGTTTTCTAATTGTTCAATTTAAACTTCAACCAGTTCTCTGAGCTAGGTATCGATGATAAGCACTCCCTGACTTTCACTGCGAGCCTCATTTTATCTAGCCCGGCTGTGGAACGCGAAAAATTTAGCTGTCTGGCATCCATCGGAGTGTTAATTTCTAACCATGAACTATCTAAGGTTTTTTTGTACTATTTCAAACCAAGTTGGCGACTCAGTGCTAATTTTTCCGTCCAATATTGGACATACATTATCTTACTATAAAATATAATCTATCCAAACACTGTGCATTTTACTACAGTAGATGCTGAAAAAGTTAGGTGAAGTAGGTCATATTCATTAAAAGTATGTATTAGACTCACAATAAACCACCTAATTTCAGTTATATATGAACACTATATGAAATTGTCGCACAAATTACTATGGTTAATTTATTTACCCAGCATTCATAAGTAATTCGTAATTGTAAAGGAAACCAGTATTCTAAATGAATTATTACTGCTTACTTCCAATAAAACATCCGCATTAGAACAGTTATCTTTGACCTAATTGTTCTGAGCTTCATTTCCCACTTCTGTTCAAAAGTCCTTCTTTCTTCTTCTGCCTAACTCCATTTCTTCCCATCAATCCTTGCTTTTCCCTTTTACCTTGTCTTTAAAGTTTCCAAGTTCGGCAATGTTGTGTGATGAAGTTGAGTGCTTACCACAATGTTCGTCATATCCACTTCTGCCCCTTCTGGTTTACTTCCCCTTTCGCTGGAATCTGATTTGTTTTATCTCACAGTTGGTTGTTGTTAATACTGTCAAGTCAACTGATCCAAAGTATTTCATGTAGACAACTGTTAATAAACACTTGTATCTTCAAGAGGATGTTTTTCGTGGTTTTGCAAGTTTCCGCACCTTTCAGTAAAGTTGTCTTGACATTTGCAGTGTAAATTCTGATTCTGGCGTTTGAGCACAGTTGCTCTGAGTTTCAAATGTTGTTCAGTTGTATAATTGCAGACCCTGCATCTGCGATCTGCCCCTTAGTATCTGCATCATATCCACCTTGTTTGTCAATAATGTTGCCTACTTATCTACGGGTTTTGACGTCTCTTAAGGCATCTGCGTCAATAGTGATTTAGTTGGTGCATGTTGTGTTTTATCGGAGGATCTTTCTTTTCTGTTAATTTATATTCAGACCTGGTACTGCTGAGGCCTCTGCTCAACTGGTCGTCTTCTCAGGCACTTGTTTTTGTGTGTGCGAGAGAAGATACAGATCATCTGTTAAGCCCAAATCCTCCACCTACATCCCGCCTGTCCACTGTAAACTGTGCTTTCACTAGGATGATGACGTTTAAATGATCACATGGATCACCAGGAGAAAGAGAGAGGGTGAGAGTAATCAACCTTGCTTGTCGTTTG